GAGATGATTGTTTATTTTCAAGTAATTTATTATGAACAAGATGATCATTGTAAAACCAAAACTATATCGCATGTTGACGAAATTATAAATCACTGAACTCAAAAGAAGTTGCAGGTAGCAATGCCAATGTCACTTCCAGCAAACACATTCACATAACTTTTGTCTTCTATTAATGCATATCAAGGAATGAAGAGGTACATCGACACTAAGTTAAGTTTTGTACATCGACTATTACTTCTATATGCTTTACACGTAGTAATAAGTTTATAATTAATATATGTAGGTAAATATATTTTCTCGCACAAAAATAATAATTTAACAAATCGATTAAAAAAAAGAGGGTGTTCATTTGAGTTAGACCAATAGGCAATGACCAATGACTTCCAGCCTAGCTGGGAAGAGGTACCGGGTTTAATACCCATATGAGATCAAAGGTCGGGAGTTCAATCTTTACAAAACTCAATTTGGGTGCCTCTTAAACTTGTGCCGCATGTGGGGAAATTTTCCCTGGAAACCCCTAATGGGGGATGGGTTTGCCCTGTAAAAGAGCTCGAACCAGAGGTGCTCGTTGAAATATGCAAGTAGGCTTATATTAATCATTTGTCGTTTCCAAAAAGAAAGAAAAAAAAAAAAAAAAAAAAAAAACAGTAGGCAATGTAGGGTGTTCATTAGAGTTAGTAATTTAACAAATCGATTAAAAAAAGGGCTTGTTCATTTCAGTTAGACCAGTAGGCAATGTGTGTCTGTAGAGCCAAGGCCTGTTATCCATCCACTGTCGGGAGAGAATAGTTTTCGCAGCTCTGTGAAGCCATCCAAACGCATTGCCTCTTACTCTAAGAACCACGAAGCCCAAGCCTTCGCTCGAGCCACATGAATCAGCTCTTGACTTGGATCGGGCAAGCCAGATAATGCAACAAAAGGCCCAACCAAACTGGACCAAATCACAATCCAACCCACTTTGATACCCCCACTTGGGTTACAGGCAAGTGTTACCAAGCCCGGTGGTTGTATGCTTTTAACGTATGTTTATAAACAGACTTTAGAACCTTTTATGTAGCGATGTGGGATATGGGATATGGGATGTGGAATAGTTTTCCTGATAAACAATTCCACCACCATATTCAACTTCTTTACAACGATATCAAAACACTTGGGTTCTATGTAATTATGTTTGTTTCTGGTTGGAGTAATGTTTATTTGTTTGTTATTTTAATGCAGCTTATAAGGAATTTGATGGTTGTATTATAACAACAACAGTTGCAAAATAACTTGGCTTCAGCTTTTCCTTAAGGTCGATCCTCTGAATCTGAAGATGTTAGCAATGGCAATATTACTTCCAACAAGCTATATAAAGGTTGCTATCATTTATTAATGGAGGAATAAAGAGGAGAGCAAAAGGAAATATGACATCTTATAGCTAAATGTTTTAAATGAAAAAACTCACCACCAGTTTCATACAACACTTAGTAATCAGTTACTAACCTCTATCATTTTTTATGTTCTAGGTTTTTAGGTTCGTTTTATGCATACATGAAGTCGTTATCATAGTATTATTGTAGATTACAAGCTGATTTGACGAAATTTTGGTCCAAGTAATTCAAATACAATTTAATTAGGAGTTTACTTATTACCCATGAGGTCATGATATCATATTTCACAACTTTAAAGGCTAATATTTATTTTTAATCAAATGTAATCACAATATTACTTTAATAGTTTGATATTTTATTACCCTAACCATGGCAATTTGCATGTTTTGTTTCACAAAATACCTCAACCATAACATAAAAATAGCCAAAATAATATCCGTATCTGCTAAAACATATAAATTGATTAAGGTTCATGAGATATTTGATAATTTAGAGAATGCTAGATTATGCATCAAAGGAATTTTATTTTATTTTTTGTTAGTTTTCGATTACAACTGCCAACATGACAATGTTGAAAGCATTGATTTAGAGGCTCGGCCGTAAGAACTTAAGAAATTAGAGATTTCTCTTAAGGGCATCCACAATGCATTGAATTTCATAGAGTTCAATAGAATATCACATCATCTTTCTACAATCCATACAACTCTATCATTTTTTTTCTTATAATGCATTGAACTTCACCAAGTTCAATAGAATCTTACAAAATGTAATTTATAGTAAATATTTAAGAATTACAAACTTTCTATTTTCCCACTGAAGAGTTCAATGGTCATTGAACCTCAAATATATTGAATGCTAAGGTGGCATCTCACAATGGTAGAGTTTCATGCATTGAATGACACATAGACTTGTCGCCTCATTCAACTCTCGCATTAAACTCACCATTTGTGGATACTCTATGAATTAAGAGATTTGTTTTTCAATTAACTTATGTTAGTATTTGAGCGACAAGTGTTAGGTGGTTTTTTTGTCTTAAATTTTAGTAAGGGATAATGATTTAAAAGGATAATATAGTTTTCAATTTGTACACATTTGGTCACAAAGTTTTTTTTTCGTCCATATTTGCCCCTTCAACTTTTTTTAATTGTATACATTCAGTCCTTATGACAAACTACTCCAGGTAAGCTGGAGAAAATCACTTAATAAGGTAATATATTTCTCACTTTATACACATTTAGTCCTTAATACTTTTTACACATTTAGTCATTAATATTTTTTTTTTGCAAAATAAGTCATTTTTGCTTTTTTACACATTCATTGCTTATGACCAATTTCTATAAGTTGTTCTCACGGTATCCTACGTGGGACAATCATCAATGATGTGTTCCGGGGAGGTTGATGCTTATAGCCACCATGTGATCGCTTGCTTGGTTGTTTATGTATTATGGTTTAGCTTAGGTCTTGTATTCTGAACGTTATAAATTCTTCAAACGATCTCAGATTTTAATGATTTTTATATCCATGAGTTCATATTTGAGTCTGCTATAATTTTTATTTAGATTACTCCCGTTAAAAAAGCAATATATTTTACTTATGATCATTATATACATGTGTTCTTTATAAATGTATCTATAAGCATTTTTTATAAACTCGTCGAGTTGTCCAATTACTCCTCTGAGTACTCGCTACTCGGACTCTTACCGATTCGAGTTGTAGAATCCCGACTACTTCCCGATCGGCTCCTTACTGAACTGAGTAATATTGCAAAACCCGGTCAGTTCGGTGATTAATATGTATAATATACTTAATGACATATTATTTAACACGCACACATTTGATTATTGCTACATACATATATCTTAAATTTTCAACAACTTTTCACGAAGTGAAACCATTATGCATTTTTTTTGTTTTTGTATATTCACATGTATCTAATCTTGTTATATATTTCAATCAACTTTTGATTTTAACTTATGATTTCAACATATATAATTTCCCTAAAAATATTTCTACATGAATTACCGAATCCGAGTACTCCCCGAGTACTCGCTCGTCGGTAGTCGACCGAACAGGTAGCGAGAAACGAGTTTTACAACCTTGATTGTAACTAAAAATATATTACTTTTTAAAGGGACTAATCTAAAGGAAAATTATAGTAGACACAAATACGAACATGTGAATATAAAGATCGTTAAAATCTGAGACCTAAGGAACCAGGCAGCCAAGGCTACAGTGGCCATAAGTATTAACAGCCCTGAACACCTCATTGTTTTGAAAAAAAAAAAAAAAAAAAAAAAAAAAACTAAAGAAACATGTCATAAGTACTGAATGTGTACAAAACAAATGATTATTTTGCAACAAAAAAATATTAAAAACTAAATGTTAAAAAATATATATTAAGATGTAAATGTGTACAAGTGAAAAATATATTACCTTATTAAGTTATTTTTTCTAGTTTCCTTGAGTAGTCGTTATAAGGATTGAATGTGAGTACTTAAACAAGTTGAAGGAGAATATGAGGACGAAAAGAAAATTCAGTGACCATATGTGTACAAATCAAAAAGTATATTATCCTTTACTTTTATGGTTAAATTTGAAAATATTGATATGTGACGATTTTTTAGTATTTTCTTAATATCTACGTTTTATATTTGAGGTAAAAATATAGAATATAAATTAAGGAAAAGGTCAGAAAAATCCAAAAAAAAACATTGGTTTTTTAAATTTGAAAACCGAAGTTTTTTATGTTTATGTTTTTGTTATAAACATCCGGACCAAACCGTAAAGAACTAAACATTATTTACTGCTAAGATTATGGGGGTTTTCAACTTAGTAAAACATCACGTTCATAAATTTTAAAAATATTTAAAAATATCTTTATGTGCCTTTTAGATGTGGATATTTGTTTTAAGAAATTTGATCTTGTAATTTTTTTTCCAAACCTCAACAAATTTATAATAATCTTAAATTTTATGAACTTACACTACTAGAAAAACAGCATTTTACGACGCTCATTGCGCGTCGTAAAAGGCTCAGACGACGCGCAAATGCGTGTCAAGGAAGGCCCTGTCATAAAGAGAGACGACGCGCTTTTGCGCGTCGTCTATACACGACGTGCATTTACGACGCTCATTTACGACGCGCATTTACGACACGCAATGCGTATCAAGGAAGGCCCTGTCATAAAGAAAGATGACACGCATTCGCGTGTCGTAACCTTACGACGCGCGTGTTAATGACATGCAATGCGTATCAAGAAAGCCCCTGTCAAGAAAGGTCATGTCATAAATGAAGATGACACACATTTTTGCGTATCGTAAATTTAAATGTTTAAAAAAAATAAATTTATATATTTATTAATTTTTAAATTAATTTGCATTTAATTTCTCATAATAGAAATAAAATACCATATACAAAAAATACAATCCATTGCATAATATAAAATAAAATTTCATTCTCAAAAAATAAAATAAATTGCACAAATTGTAATGTCATACAAAGAATCATTCAAATGTTAAACAAAAATAATACATTGCTAACATGGGTTATACATTTCTATAAAACTAACAAATAATCATACAACTCTGTTTCTTACTGGAAAGGAATGTCAAACATGATTACAAGTCTCCCTTAATCTTGATTACTCACCTTCTTAAGTAGAATGTTGTTGTTGAGAAGGTTACCTAGCAACGTATCCATAGTTTCAGTTTATAGTAATCAAAATATAATAATAATCAAAATATAATAATAAAGTAAAAAGTTGAGAAGAACTTACACCTTCTACCATCAAACAATGAGTCAGCACTAGCTTCAATTACTTGATATGTTCCAGCAACAATGTCCATAATAAGTGTAGCCATTTGCAACATGAGGACCATATGGTAAACTCCCAATTCCATCAGTTCTTTGGCTCTTTTCACAGTTTCAGTTGTGTTTGATGACATTGCTAACTCCAGAAGTTCCAATAAATTCTGATCAGAGACAACTCCTACCTACAATCAACTCCAAAAGAATCAGTAAAAAGTTTGAATAAAAAGTTACAAGGATCAAGAAACCAGTAGATTAGATACTTACAAGTTCATTTCCAGCCTCTGAAGCGTCTTCATCTTTTTCATTACTTTGAAAATACAATGAGATGTGATTTTTTTAATGTTATCAATCCATAAATTAAGCGCAACATATATGTTATCATCCTGAACATGTCACCAATTAATAAAAAATGTGCACCTGTAGTCAGGCCTCTGTGATGAACTTTAGTTGTGATTCAAGCTAGCACTGCTTGTCACTCAGCTTCTCAAGCTACAAAAACAAAAATTAAATCTATTTGTTACAGATTTAATAAAAAAAACTAGAAGACGTATAAAATATATAAAAAGAAATGGCATACATGTGTGCTTTGCATTTGCTGAAGATCTGCCAGGGCCTTTTGTCTAGACTGCAGAACAGAAAACAATAATTATCCTGTTAAAACTTATAAATTATAAAACATCGTATAAAAGTCAAGAGTTTTTTTATATAAATAGAAACGATATTATAAGTTATAACAATAATAATGTAAGCTTACGAATTGGTTTGTAGCCCATCTTTCATAATAATGAGTGTATCTTTCTAAAGAGTTTTTAGCCATCTCTCTTCATTTCTCCATGTCATCATACTACAGACAACAAAATACACAATATCTATTATTTAATAACTTCAATTCAAATGTGTAAAAGATTTATTAAATGATATATATAAATAATGGTGTTGGTGGTGTTGTTGACATTCCTCAACACATCCATGGCCTCAAACACCTTTGCTTTCAAAGCATCTGGTGACTCCAGCAAATGTAACACTTCTGTTTGGTCCATCTCCAAAAGCATTCCTGTTACTTTAGCAGCATTCTCAGGTTCCAACTGATCCACCAGTGGATACAAACTCTCACCCAACATCTGTCCATTCATTTAAAAAACATATCATATGTTAACACCCTGATTTAATTATTAGAGTAAGTTCCATATTTGGTCCCTATGCTTTACACAAAATTGCAACTTTAGTCCGAATAATTAAGAAAATGTAAAATAACATACATACTGTCCTTTGCTGTTCAGGAGGGGCATTAGCAAGGGAAGAAGCCAAAGCTGTAATTGGCATTGGCTGGCCCATTGCTGCACCTTCATACCGAGGAAACATGCCACCCTTGAGATTTGAATCCGGTGCATTGCGACCCGGGTAATGATATGTGCGTCCTCTTGGAAACATCTGACAAAAACAAAGGGAAAATAACAATTATTGTTGCTAACCAAAACCCACCTTTTGATTAATTAGTTTCTATTCATCTTTTTGCATCAAAGATGTAAATCTGATTTTATTTGTTCTGATCTGTAAGTTTTATTTATTTATTTATTTTTAAATTCTTTATTTCAAAAAAATATTGTCTCAATCTTCATCACTAATAATAGCACCAAATAACCCAACATAGCCATGAGTTCAATTCTATCAGCAGTTTTCACAAAGAACTCGTGCATAACTCAAAAGTGATCCATTAAGCTAAATGACAAAATTGCCCTTTGACCAAAAATGTTAAAAGACAAGAAGATTACCTCAGTAATTAACATTGTTAACATCATAAAGGGTAGCCCCAGCAACCACTAGAAAGTGACCCTTGATAGGGCTACTTCCTCTTTCTAAAATTATACGAAAATACAAATTAGAAGTAGAGCTAAAACTATCCATTGAATTCACATATTATATAATAAATTTATATGAAAATTCATTTTGTTTCCAGTATGAAGATGGTTACTTGAATTTCTTTTGCCAAGTTTGTCCCACCAACATGCTTCTATGTTGCTCCACCATTAAATACAAATCTAAATGCAGTGCAAGCTTTCACGTCTTTAAAAATCTACATGAAAAAAATAAGATGTAAATAATGCAAGTTATATAAACAATAAAAACTTCATGGTTGAATGTTCCTTTGCAAATATATAAATACAACCGTTTTACCTTATTAATATTTACATCATTCAATTCATATGAAATGGAAAAACTCGGGACTAGACCAGCATTTAGTTTTAACCTGTAAATCACATAAATAAATAAATAAATATATAAAAATAATTAACTCAAATAGAAGAAAAACTATATTTTTTTTCAAACATCAAACAAGTTTTCAGTAGGAACCTTTGAGTCATTAAGTCAAGATAAATGAGATCAACACTATGGCAACCATTCCTACTCTTCAGATTGTCTACAGCCCATAGCTAAAGATACTTTGTAACTCTCAATTTGACTCTCCACAAACCATACAAAGGGTAAGGAAGTAAAATATCAAATAAGATTTGAAAAGGAGACAAGGTTTAGGGTTCTGTACCTCTTGAATGTCCTTCATATTGACTGACATTGACTCACTTGGAAGGTTTTTTGCCAGGAAGTTTGCCTTAATTCTTCAGACTCTGATATTCCAGATGCAAGTGATTTTACGCTTTTCCACATAATAAAAAACTAAGAAAGGAAAAAAAAAAGTAAAGGGTAAGAAAGTAAACTTCTTAATTGAAATGAGAAATTTGTAATAATCTGCAAGTAACATCCATTATTTAGTTCAGTGCATTCAATCATCAACAAAAAGACAATAACTTAATAGTTACCTGTGGATAATACATGTTGTTATGTCCTGTTTCCTTGAATTTAATATTCAAATAATCCTGTAAAAGGAAAACCAAAAGTCAACAACTCCCTACAAGATTACTCCGTCGAATCCAGATGATAAACAAGAGCTACAAATTTGCTTTCAAGTGTATGTTTATGTTTCCAATGGTAAATAGAAATCCCATATTTGGCTACGTTATAGAGAGTGATCTAGTCTGTGAATATATACTGCTTTTGGTAAATAGAAATCACATCTTAATTAGAACTCTAAGATTAAAATATCCAAGAAATAACCATTAAAAAATACAATGGAAAGTTAATTTACCACAGTCGCAATGGACCTAATCATCAAAATATATTTTTTTAGGGAATAATGGAGTAAAAACATTTGTTTTTATTCAGAAAATATAATTAATCTCTTTTTTTTGCAGATATTGTTGTTTGTAACTTTAAACTAACCAAACGTTTGACAAACTATACATGACCATTTGTCACTATGTTTGTTTATGTTTGTTGTTTAATAAACAAATGAACATGAACATGATTTGTTTGTTTAGTTAAACAAACAAACATTAACAATGATCACCTTCGTTTATTTAGGTTTATGAATATGTTCGTTTGTTTATGTTTATTTGTTAACATTTGACTTTTTCGTTTATGATATTATATATGTTGAACTTCCATGATGTTTAAGGATTGACGAGTAATGATGATCTTAAATGTGAGACCATGCATTGAATTGTTATTTATCATTAATGGCGTGGTGGATTTATATGTTACGAGCCTAAAGTGTGAAATTTTTAAGCTTGACTTTTTGTGAAGATGTTTGGATGGAGATGATATTAAAACTTTATTTTTGAGTTATTTTTGGATTTTGGACGTTTTACGTTTTAAGATTTATGTATAAATATTTTATTGATGTATTTTTACTCAAATGAATGGTTATGCTATTTATATTCGGTAATCTTCATTTATATATGTTATTTTATAGTTGATACTCGTTTGTGTTCTTTTGTGCTCGTTCATTTATGTTCGTTTAACATATTAATAAACAACCACAAACAAACATGAACAAGAGATATTTTTAAACAGACAAACACAAACAAAAAAGAAATGTGTTTGTTGTGTTCATGTTCGTTTGTTATATTCAAAAAACCATCATTATCATTACGAATAACATGTTTTAAAATATTATTCAAAAAACATCATTATCATTAGGAATAACATATTTGATGTTGATTTGATATATGTTTGATGTGTTCGACATCCGGTTACCAACCATCTTCTTCCCTACATTGGTATGCACCATTAGGGCAAGAACTCCCCCACACTGGACAAAATTAGAACACCAAATTTTTTATAATTGTGATGTATTTATAATCGTGATGTATTTTATAATTGTCCATTAGGGCAAGAACTCCCCCACATTGGTATGCACCATTAGGGCAAGAACTCCCCCACATTGGACAAAATTAGGGCAAGAACTCCCCCACATTGGACAAAATCACATTTCTTCAAGCCAAATACGACAGATGGTAATGCAAACCCTTGCTATTGTTGCTATATTTATCGAATTTGGACATCATGGACCAAGGATATTAATGACATAAGGTTTATGCTTTGTTCTACAGTTTTTTTTTAAGGAAATAATGGATTACGTAGGAAAAAACCTATTCTTGAGCCTATTCGGGAAATGAACAGAATGAAGGGATTAGGAAGGAACACTTTCCCATTCATCCCCTGAAAATGTATTCACCCAAATTTGGGATGATAGGGAGAAGGCAATGAGAAGATAGAATTAGGCGGAATTTACCCTTTCCTCCCTTAAAAATGTATCATTTTCTTCCAACCTAGGATCATAATTTTCATGTTGTTTCATTCCAACTCAGAGACACACCTAATTAATTTTTTTTCTCTTCTTTTTCCTTTATTTTTTCTTTTCTTACCTTATCTTAAATTTTAAAACTCCATCTACAACCTAGATTTAAATCTAGAACTTCAACAAGGAGATAAAGTACAACTCTTTAATGCATAAGTGCAACTCAACTTCAAGTTAAGGGTTATGAATCCCCACATTTCATCATTGAATATGGAATCAACCATTCCATTGGTTGGATGGTGATGCCTTGACGTTCTAAAACATGGTACAAACATCAAAACTCAATCAATTTACAAATCAATCATTAAATTCAGATTTAAGATGGTATACGGTTAGAAATACCCTAAACTTCACCGAAACTACAATAATTCATGAATTTAAACCTATAAATCGGATTTGACTCTACCACTCAAAATTTTAGAATGAAATTGGTAGAGAAAGGAAGATGAATATATTTTCCAAAGATAGATTATGAATGGAATTCATTATGGCCTCAACCAGTATTTCAAGCTTCACACATCTATTATTTTGAGAGTAAGAATTGCCATGGAGGAGGGTGAGGCTTGGATGAATTGTGAATGAGGAACAAGAAGGAAAGAGTGCCCAAATATCACATAAATATGGAAACTTGACAGTTATAGTCCTTCCTTACTAAACCTTTACTTACTTGGTCTTATATGAATTAGAAATCTCGCCTACCACCATCTAATTGCATCAGGTAAATTACACCATTAGTCCCCCGTGCACATGCCAGAAAGCGTACTTAGTCCCTATTTCCAAAATTTAACTCGGACAGTCCCTTTTTGTTATTTATCTTGCACAGTTAGTCCCTATGCACGTTAATTGTTAAATGCTTCTGTTTAAGCTACCCACGTGCCTTGCACGCAAGGGCATTTTCGCCTTTTCAGGGTTTGTATACATGAACCATTATGGCGCGGCTTCGATAACCGATCATTTCTCATTTCATCCTCCGTTGACCCTTAGCATTGCACAAGAAAACCCTAGTTTTCTACGACGGTGAACTGGAGGATTAGGCAACAATGGGAGGAATACGATCTCCAAAGATCATACGGTAAAATATTTTACATTTTCAGTTGATCATCCATTATACGTTCCTAAAAGATAATAAAATTTAATTTTTGTTTTATTTTTTGGGTTCGCACCTGACAATCCATCTATGTTCTCGATACGATTGAACTATGGTGGAGTTTTTACGAAGTTTCCAGGCCGCAAATACATAAAGGGGAAGACGAAATATATTGATGGCATTGATAGTGACTTGTTCTCAGTGCATGATATGGATGAGATAATGGAATTGCTTGATTGTGTGGAACCAGGTAAAAGTATTTACTACCATTTCAAACGACCAATCTGGGATTTAGATTTTGGGTTGTATGCTTTGGGCTGTGACGAAGATATAAACCACTTTAGGTCATATGTTTATGAACACAAGGTGATACAAGTGTATACAAAGTTTTGGGAAACCAAGCTACATACGTATCAAATGTCCCCAAACCCTACAAAGATAAAGATACAAAAAATTCCTGAGTCCCTTTGTCGTAAAAGGTTGTTATTGACATGGTCAAATTCAGGGGATGATCCTAGTGAAGAAGCCCTTGTTTTTTAGAATGTAGAGACTATGGACCAACCCCCTAGTACATTACCTGAAACAACCTTGGAACAACCCCTTATTACATTTAGTGAAACAGTTGAGTCAACCCCTGCATATATACCAAGAATTGAAAGCCCTTTGACTGAACCAATGATGGGAAGCACATGTCCTAATGTTGATGTTGGGATGATACATTTAAATGGTGTGAACCTTTTGGTGGGACTCCTATGGAACAAGATGAACCAAATAGTGAAATAGAAGATGAGTGACTATATTACATAAAAGATTCTGGAGTAGTTCTTCATTGAAAGAAGAGATGAAATCGGGTATATATTATAATATAAAAACATAAGGTCAATCCACTTGGGAAGAAGTAGAAGACGATGGATTCTGCGTAGGGTTTGTGGAGGCCATATATTCGGCAACAAAGCATATAATCGGGGACCAATTGAAAGGAATTGAGATAATCACCGTGTTTTGTTTCCGGTGTGAAACATAAAATAGGGGTGGTAAAAATCGAACAAACCTGATTAAGTGGAAGAAATCCGTTTTTAAGCTTAGTCGAATCCTGAACACAAACACAACTAACCTTACGAACAAAGCGTGGGGGGAGACGGTGAGACACGTATCAGTTATTAGAAGAGGGAAACGGTGAATCGAAGCTAGGATACGTTTTAGATCAATATAAATTGGGAGTAATAACCTAATTGTTTCAGCTATGCTTGTCCGACTTCAACAGGTGAACGTGTTTATTGGAGATTGAGGGTTCAGAAATGATGAAATCGGTCAAAAAAAACCTTTGAAATCATTGAGGAAGATGGTCATGCGAGAAGAGGCTGTGTATTTTGGGGATGAATTTCATTTACCAGAAAAGCAGGCGAACGGTAATGGAAGCTTCAATCGAACATGGGAACAGACGAAGAGGACGATCAAAATTAATCGTTCAATAAAAACCTCTGAAATAAAAGATGAGACGGTGAAAGAAAGAGAAGAAGGCACGTATTTGGTCGTGTCAGAAGCTGATGACTACATGTAATCAAGCAAGTGGTGAGGAACGTAATTGGATAGGGGAGGCGGTGATGCATAGAAGAGGAACACGTAACCTGATGAAAGAGTTGACCGTTGACCAGATATTCCAAAATGATCAAAAGGCAAAATAGGAGGACCAATTTGTAAAATATAAAAAATGAAAAAACAGAAAATGAAGGGGACTATACACAAAGAATGAAAGTGTAAGTCTAAGATGTTTTCTTCTCTTCGTTTTGATAGTAGGCACAGCAGAGCATTCACATCCTTGGGAACCACGTCACCTTTGTACATCAAACTACTGAATTTATCAAAAATGGGTGTCGATTTGAATGGGAACCAGTCGGCAATGCGGTCCTGAAGAGCCGAGGCATGTTAACCTTCAACTGTCCGGAGAGAGGAGTTCTTGCAGAGCTCTGTGAAGCCGTCCTCCTTCTAAGTCGGATAATGCAACAGCAGACCCACCGAAGTGAACCAAATCAAAGTACGACACACCTTCATACCACGGTGAACAACTAGACTACAAGGTAGCCTTATAATGCAATCTCGGAATCACCCATGAAGCGATGTGGGAATACTTAGTTTTCAAGTAATTCATTATGAACAAGATGATTATTGTAAAACCAAAACTATATGGCATGTTGACGAAATTATAAATCACTGAACTCAAAAGAAGTTGCAGGTAGCAATGCCAATATCACTTCCAGCAAAGACATTCACAGAGTTTTTGACCAAATAGGTGTCTTCTAAAAATTTATTTACCCAATAAGTGTACTTTCAAAAATATTTACCAAATAGGTATAGTTTCAAAATTATTTATCAAATAGGTGTAGTTTCAAATTTTAAAACTTATTACTTTTATTCTATTTTTATTTTTTAATATAATTATTTTTGACATTTTGCTATTAATGTTTAACAAATTTTTTACAACTATTTTTATTTTTTATGTCTCATTTCATTATAACAAACAAAATTTTGAATCTAAGTAGATGTCCAAGATTGAAAGTCTAGTGATTTTTATG